ATCTAATTTAAATGAACAGTGAAAGCGTGGTTTCAATCCATGCTTACTGTAGTGAACAGTGAAAGCATGAATTTTGTAAATGAACATGATTGGTTTAATAATATCTAAATGAACATGATTTTAAAACTATATATATGAAAAATATTATGTAAAATTAATATATGAAAAGAGGCTTTTCCTATAAAAATTTAAATGATATATAAATTGGCTTAATTCCCAAATGCTTGGTAATTAGTTAAAAATATTATGTAAAATTAATATATAAAGGCGAGGCTTTTCCCATATGATGTAACACAAATTAATATATGAAAATAAGAGGTTTTTCCCATATTATGTAAAATTTATGAATTACACCTTCTAAACCAAAACAAAGACAAAAGAAAAAAAAATATTTTAACATAAGAATGGCTTTAGTAAAGTCAAATTTTTTTTTATGAATTACATTATCACCAAAATAATGAGAACAGAAAAAAAAAAAACAAAACATTAAAAAAAAATACAAATAAATAAATGAACAGTGAAAGCGTGGTTTCAATCCACGCTTTCATTTATCAACAGTGAAAGCGTGATTCCAAATAGCGTTTTTTGAACAAAAAATAATGCACAGTGAAGGTGTGATTGTGAATCACATTTTCTTCAATTTTTTTTTTATATGCACAGTGAAAGCGTGGTTTGGAACCACGTTTTCTTCAGAAATTTTTTTTATATTAAAAGCGTGATTTACAATTATGCTTTTTTAACTAAAAACGTGATTTGTAATAGCGCCTTCACTATTTATCACATTTTAAACTCAAAATAATAAAAATGTAATTTGTAATAATATTTTAATTTAATTTAAAAATTCTATCTAAATTAAATCTAATTTAAAAATTAAGATACAAAATAGGCTTAATATAAGAACTGCTCGTCAGAGTAGTCTCCCGAAAGAGCGGGGCAAACTGCTTCGTCTCTCTCTCTGCTCTGCTGTATTATTATTTATAGAGATTCAGACATACACTTGACACTAGAACCTTCTAATAAAACACCAGATACACACGTAGCGGGGAAGTGAAGGCAGTGGTGGCTGTGTGAGATAGAGAGAGACTCACTCTTTCTTCTTCCCCAAACCCCTCAACAAGTTATTTTTAGGGTTTAACTCCAATGATTCGCTCTAATGGCGTCAGACTCGTTCGCTACTCTCTCTCTCGTATACTCCTCCACGATTCCCCAATTGCCGTACTCACCACTCTCTCTCTCTCTCTCTCTCTCTCCCTCTCTCTCTCTGTATATACACACACACACATACATACTCCTGATCAATTATTATTGCAGATATATGAGTCGATATTGCGAGGGGGCTATCGGACATACGGCTCGGCGGTCACCAACCAACCTAGGGTTCTTGCAAGTTTTCATTCTAGAAATGGTATTCCATATCGATATTGTTTGTTTGATTTTTACAATTGCATACTTTCGAAGTCGTGCTTTTTTTAAAAAATTTTATATGTTTCTTTTTAAATTCTACGTTGATTCTTGTATTTGAAAAAAACAGCTAATAGTAGAAGCTGGATGCGGCTTGGAGTATTGAATTCTAATTTTGGGGCCCCTGCAGCAAGAGCTATTCATGGCACTGGTATTGATTTTATTTTCTTTGTTGTACTGAGGAAAGTATATATTTTTTTTCGCTCTAATAAACTTTTTGTAGCTAATTTAGCCAGTTGGGTTTTTCATTTTTATGAAACTAGAGCATGAGAAAACAAGACCGAAGCATTACTTAATGAGGGAATCATTGTCTAGTTTCTGAGACATTGTAGGAAGAAAAAAAAATTTAAATAGATATGAGTTTCCAGAGTTCACTTTTGTTCCAAGGGGAACACGATAGGACAATATGTTCTCCTTCATAAGCCAATAAATAAGGCATAAATGATGGGATTTTGTAAAACATACACTGTCCCATTCTTATGCCGGGGTATCTTAGTTGTAGCTTTCTTGACATTCTATGGGATGCTGAAGCGTATTTTACTTGACTTTGAGCTGACTTTTCCCTGATCAGCATATATGGCGGCTGGAGATTATTATGACACACTTGGTGTGAATAAGAATGCAACTGCATCTGAAATCAAGAAAGCTTATTATGGGGTATGTGTTTCTATCGCAATTCACGCTTGAAAACGTGCAAATATGCTATATTCTTTAATTTTTCATCTATGGTTGGAACCAATGCTATTTAAGGCAGGAGGCACACTGAAGCTCCAAAGTCTCTTGGGGCTTGGGCGCAAGGCGAGACATGGGTTTCATTGAAGTGAAACACGTTACAAATATTGCATAGTTGTTTTTTTATTTTTTATTTTTTTATAAGTATGAGAAATTTATTATGTGTTTTATCTACCATATGTTAACCAATGAAACATTTTATTTTTACATGAGATTATTACCACCGAGTACATTAACACATCAACAATTTCAAATGAAGTAAATTTCAATTAAAGACTTGGGCTTCATTGAAGCTAAGCAATTGAGAAATAATACAATAGAGCAATAAAGTAAATAATTAAGAAATTAAATATTTAAACAAATGAAGTGAATAAAATAACCAATTAAGAAAATTAAATCATTTAACATCAAACACTTAGCATGCAAATTATTGTTTGGCTATTCTCACTGTTTAGAGAGAGAGAGAGAGAGAGAGAGAGAATCATATGTAAGTCAAATATAAAAGTTTGGGTATTTATCTTCAATTTGTTATCTAGATCAGGCTATCTATTTATAGAGGGGCTTTGATAGGATGTGAGTGGCATATAAAAATATAATGGACTTCATTAGATCAAAGGGTTGATGTTGCATCTTTAACAAATTAGGCGAATTGAAAAAGATGTGCACCTCTTTGCGCCTTGCATGCCTTGAGCGCCTCGGCTGCTCTTCATTAAAGTTGCCTTGCCTCAAGAGTTTTGAGGTGCCCCAAGTGTGCCTAGGTACGCCTTTGATAACAATGGATGGAGCCGGTCAGGATTGTGCCATTCACCTCAAATGAGGGTTCTTGAATTTTGTTTGGCTTGCCATCCATTTATTTTCTAAGTTTGTATGTCATATTGTTATTGTTCTCCAGCTTGCAAAGCAGTTGCATCCAGATACAAATAAAGATGATCCTGAAGCTGAAAAGAAATTTCAAGAAGTTCAAAAGGCATATGAGGTAATAACTAGTTTGGCAAGTTTTCAATAATGGAATGTCGATATCACGCATGGAATGCACTAGTAAAACCTTTATTGTTTGTATTGTTGTAGGTTTTGAAGGATGAAGAAAAACGTGCACAGTATGACCAGGTCTTAGTCTCACAAATAACTTAATTATATATATTCTTTCAATTGGCGAAGTTTTATTTGTTCTGAATTTGCCCAAATGCTGTTTCATGAACTCAATGTGGGTATTTCTTGATGCAGAGGCAGTTTGGTTTTGGTAGCCTTGCATTACTTAATAAAAAAAACAAAGGGTGTAGATTTGTACTTGTTAAAATCCACCTACTCTCCACCTACTTCACCCACTTAAACCTACTCCACTAAACCTAACCCACTACACCACTACCACCTCACCTACTCCACTAAACCTAACCCACCACTACCACCTCCACTTCACCTACTCCTCACCTACTACACACTCACCCTCTCCTATATATAGGAATCATTGTAACCATAACATCAATATCAATCAATAATAATACATACAATTTATTCTCTCTCTTTCTCTATACATTATTTCTTACAGCTTCCATTGTCTGTTCGGAGACATTTAAGCTTCTTTCCGATCTCCCTTTCCACCATAGCATGGAATGTTTGAAAATGCTGGAACACCTCAGCTTTGGTCTTTAGGACATAAACCCATACTTTCCGTGATGCATCATCAATGAACGTTAGGGAGTATTTATTGCCACCCAAAGATTCCACTTCTATGGGACCGCATACATCAGAGTATACTCTGCTTAACAACTCTGATTGTCTTCCAGATAATGAGTAGAAAGCGACTCTATGATGCTTCCCAAATAAGCAGTTGTCACAAGGATTCAATTTCTCATCTTTGGCAAAGGGAATAAGAGACTTCTTTACCAGAATCTGCAACCGTTTTTCACTCATGTGACCTAACCTTTTATGCCACAAATTTGGTGACGCCCCATCTTCTATTTCGTTGAGGCGATCTGAATTCACCTCCACATGAGTCTTGTACAGTGTGCCAATTGCCTGTCCTCTGGCTACCACCAGAGATCCCTTTTTCAACTTCCATATGCCTTTGTCGAAGTAGTTCTCATAGCCTTATCGATCTAAGGCTATCCCTGAGATAAGATTCAGGTGTCAATCGAGAACATGCCTAACATCTTGCAACACCATCGTGCACCCAACTTTGGTTTGGATGCGAACATCACTGATTCCCACAATCTTCGAAAAACTAGAGTTACCCATCTTCACTGTACCAAAATCTCCAGCTTGATACGTACTGAAAAACTCCTTTCGGGATGTAGCGTAGTAGGAAGCTACTGTATCTACCACCTACTTGGTGTCGTTGTCAGACATATAGAGGCATTCGTCTTCTTCAACAGAGAATAATGCAATATCCTCTGAGACAGGGACTGTAGTGTACCCATCTTCAGTCTTTGGCTGTCTATTGCCTTGTTTTTGTTCTCCCTTCAAGGCATAGCAATATTTCTTTATGTGACCCTCCTGGCCACCATGGTAACACGTGAACCTTAGCCGGCTCGTACCTTCTCTAAATTTCCCTCTGTCTTGAGATCTTCATCTGCTGCGTCCTCTAATTTTGCTTCTTCCCCTGCCTCTACCTCTACCTCTACCTTTATTTTCTGTGACGAGGGCATGGGATTGATCTCCACCCAAGTCTTTCTTCCTTGTCTCTTCACTGAATAGAGCATCTATAACCATGCTCATGGTTAGTTTTCCTTTTGGTGTAGAGTTATTGAGGGACACCACCAACGTCTCCCAACTATCTGGCAAAGAACTGAGCAGCAAAAGGGCCTGCATCTCATCATCTAATTCCATTTTGACAGTTGCCAGTTGGTTCACTAGATTTTGAAACTCACTGGTGTGTTTAGCAACAGAGATACCGCCTTTCAGCTTCAAATTTACAAGTTTTCTCATTAGGAGGGCTTTGTTCCGAGCAGTCTTTGACTGGTACATGCCTTCTAACTTCGTCCAGAGAGCATAGGCATCAGTCTCTTGGGCGACATGGTGGAAGACACTGTGATCGATCTATTGTCTGATCTGGCCAATGGTTTTCCGATTCTTTCGCTTCCATTCTTCGTCATTTTCCGTAGTTGGTTTGACTCCATGAAGCTTAATAGGGTCAAACAAATCTCGGCAGTACAAGACATCTTCCATTCTGGGCTTCCAAATTGCATAGTTGGAAGCGTTCAGCTTTATCATGGATCTTGAAGTCGACGTTGATTCCTCCATCTTCTAAGGTCTGACCTTCTTGAAACACCACATCTCGGCTTCGAATGACCTTTTTGTGTTTCGGATCCCACAGTCTGTATCCAAATTCTTCATCTCCATAGCCAATAAAGATGCATGGAGTGGCTTTGTCATCCAGTTTCTGTCTGTGCTCCTTGGATATATGTGCAAATGCTTTGCACCCAAACACTCTCAAGAGAGAGTAAGAGATCTCCCTTCCAGGCCATACTTTTTCTGGAATCTTAAAATTTAGTGGAACAGATGGCGATCTGTTGATCAAATAGAAAGTAACGCGAACAGCTTCTCCCCAAAATGGCTTTGGCAGCTTTGCCATTTTGAGCATACATCTGACCTTCTCCACAATGGTTCGGTTCATTCTCTCGGCTACACCATTGTGTTGTGGCTCACGTGCCTCGCCACTTTTGATGGCACGCCTTTTTATGGATTGGGCACGCCTTTTGATGGCACGCCTTTTGAAAAATTGAGCGCACCTTTTGAGGATGCGATTCTACAAGGGTCCGACAAGACTCTGTAAACTGTCCCGACATAGATTCCGGTTAGTTTCTACAAGGGTCCGACAAGACTCTGTAAACTGTCTGCTACCACGTTGTCTGACACCACCATACAGTGTCCTCTACCACGTTATGACACCCCCATACAGTGTCATCTACAACGTTATGACACCACCATACAGTGTCCTCGACAATGTTATGACACCACCATACAGTGTCTTCACCACCTATCCTCTTTTATTTTTATGTATTTTCTTGTTTTGTTACTCTCTCCAAACTCAAGTTGGTTAGTTCCTATCCCCCTTGAGTTTGCGGGGGGCTGTTAAAATCCACCTACTCTCCACCTACTTCACCCACTCTCACCTACTCCACTAAACCTAACCCACTACACCACTACCATCTCACCTACTCCACTAAACCTAACCCACTACACCACTACCATCTCACCTACTCCACTAAACCTAACCCACTACACCACTACCATCTCACCTACTCCACTAAACCTAACCCACTACACCACTACCACCTCCACTTCACCTACTCCTTACCTACTACACACTCACCCTCTTCTATATATAGGAATCATGAATCATTGTAATAATAATCAAAATATCAATCAATAATAATACATACAATTTATTCTCTCTCTTTCTCTATACATTATTTCTTACAGTACTAAATGATGGCATACTGTGAAGGTTAAGGGGTGGACCAGGGGCTTATCTTTATTATTATTTGGTTTTGGTAGCGTTCTACTCTATTATTATTTCCTTTTGGTGTTGCCACAATTTTTTGGGGTGGACCAGGGGCTTGTCTATTCTAGCCTTAATTGAAGTTTCCTTGAAATCTATCCTATACCTGCGTCCAAGACTCCAGTGTATTGAAAAAAGATCACTAATGTTCACTGGCGACTCTAGTGATTCTTTGATGGAAAGTGTTAGAATTTCCCATCTTTACCTTCACCTACTCCACTACACACTCCACTAATGTTCACTGGCGACTCTAGTGATTCTTTGATGGAAAGTGTCTGGGCAGCTTGGAATAGTAATGAGTAGGAGATGGGCCAATAATTTGCCTGAAGGCCCATTAGCTAAATTGAGGTCCAATCTGTCTCTTATCTTATTGTGAAAGTCCCTACTTCATCTTAACAGGAGTATTTTGAGTTGTGTGAATTGGTACAACCATATGTATGTGCGCTTACATATATATATATATATATATATATAAATTTTTGAAATGATGTAGCATTGTAGTCTATAAATGGGTGATGTAACATTCCATTGTACTTAGGCCTTGTTTGGGAACAGGCTAATTTAGTAACTTTTTGGCAATTTGGCTAAAATATGAGTTAAAAAAAATAGTATGTTTGGGATGACTTTTTGGCTTTTTACGAAAAGATGTACAAAAAGTAGAGAGAAAAGAGAATCTTTGACTTTTTGGTATGGATTGTTGGCTTTTTGGCTAACTTAGTAACTTTTTGGCTAAAAGGGAGGGTTCCCAAACGAGACCTTAGTTTTTTATTAAAGAATTTACATTGTGATTGGAGTAGAGCTCAGTCCTTAATTGGGGCATTTGTCTTCTCTTTCTCAATTCGATCCTTGGTTTGCATTTGGATTGCATTAGTATGGCTATAATTGCGCTGCTAAAAAACAATCGGATAAGAGAAAAAAAACATGTAATTGAATATGGATACAGTGATTGATGCAGGACAATTAGGGACAACACTGTAAGGACTTTAAAGCTGAATTTCTGTGAGTTTTTATTTTGGCTTCAAGCTAAAAAGTAATGGGAAATTTGGAGCTTCTACCAGTGTATGGAAGAATTAGGGTTAGGGCTTAATGTAATAAGAAGGAATATTGAATTTTGTGACTGTTTTAGGTGCTGTGGACAGTATCCGTGAACAGTAATTTGGCTGTGAAAGTGCTGAAATTTAAGAAAGAAATAAAGGAAAAGGAGAAGATAGGTTTAGGAATCACTCATAAATCCTTTAGGCATGACATCTAGGATTTGATTGTATCACACAATCCATAAAGAAGCTTCAGAAGCTCTGAAAGTTCTTTAAAATATCAATTCAATTAAATTAAAAGCATTACATTTACATGACTTTATAGAGAATTAGGAGACTTTCTAAACCAACTTGAACAAAAAAATGAAACTATTAAAACTATTTTTACTTCTAAAACCAATTTAAGACTAGATAAGAAACATAATAAAAATCAATTAAATAACTTGACCTACAAGACGACCCATTGACGATCCCTGCAACTACAACCATGTCAACAAATATGAAAATTACCAAAATAGCCCTGACCTAAAAATCCTAGAAAACATAAATATAATCATAAAACAAGACTAATAATACTAGAAACATAATTATAGGAAATATCTATTAGTTTCTATATGAAATCATGCCAATGTCCAAATATTATCATTTCTTTGAATTTAGCCTTCATTGAGCTTCTTATACAATGCATCATTCTCCCTTGGTTGGAAAAAACTCGACCTCAAGTTTTGAAATGTTGTATAAGAATCCACAAGCTTTGAAATTGCATCCATGGTTTTACATTACATTTTTCAAGTTGGTAGCATCGTTTCCTTGTCATCAGAGGTAGTAGTGGAAGAAATATGATAATTTTATCTCTAAAGCTGAATATTTTTGGAATAACAAAATCAATTGAAGTAGAAGGTGAACCCTTGAATTGATCTAATTGTTGAGTTGCCTCGTCATCCATTTCATTTTGTTTTGCTTTGCAATATTTGCTTAGAATCAATTTGAATGCCACTGCTTGCATCAACAACCATGGATTCCATATTCTCTACCTTTTTTGATGTAGGACATCATGTGCCTAACATGTGAGTTGGTTAGTGGAAGTTAGTTGGTAGCCTATATCTAGGGAATGAGAGATCAATTGTAACTAACTTTGATACGTGACAACTGGTTGATTGGAGATATTCTCTCAAGAACCTTAGGATTTCTCTCTCTACATTACTCTCTCTTTGTTTTTGATTGGCCCCATCATTTACCTCAACCAAAATGTTGTCTTGCAACTCAATTTTGCAATCCTCTTGTGACTCCAGAATATGCTGGACATTATTCATGTGGCTTATTAGATGATATTGTTGGCACCACGTTAGAAAATTTAGGTAACACAACTTGCGCATCTTTGGCAACAATCTTTGGTTTTGGTGTTACATGTGATGCATGTCTCACACAATTTTGTGGTGGTTAAAAATTTAAATTGTACTATTGAAATGGTTAAAAATTTTAATTTTAAATTGTACTGTTTTAAGTTGTCTCTTACTCCAGCCAAGGCGGCTCTCCCTTAGGCAACCCCTCACCGTGGCTTGAATACGAAATGTGGTACTTGCTTTGATCTAATATTTGAATCTGATAATCAATACACTAACCACCCCATAACTGATGGAATGTGTGAAAGTGAAATTGAGCCTTTCAATCATTTGGCATCTATGGAGCATGGGTACGGGCATGAGTATTGGTATTGCTATGATATGGGTATGTTGATACAATAAAATTCAGAAAAAGTAAGGTATGGGTACGGCTTGGTACGTTAATAAAAAAATATTTATTTTTAATTTGGAGTAATGCAAAAATTGATTAAATGATTTAATTTGTTAAGATCTAACATACAATTAACATTTAATGCCAAAAGTAAAATTATAAACCAAAATTAAGGCTCTGTTTGTTTTGACGTAAAATGTTTTTGCCAAAAATATTTTATTCATTTTTTGTAGTTTGGTTGAACAAAAAGCAAGTAAAACATTTTTAAAGGAAAATATTTTTGCACAATTTTTTCAAAAATGACTTGCTTCCAAAAATTCCTTAAGTTAATTTTTAAAAAGTTGACTCTCACTCACTACTTTTTCAACACATTGAGCCTTTTCAAATAAATATCTTATCTCACTAAAAAGTCATAAATGACATTTTATTTAATCAAAATTTCACTTTATTGAATAAAATGTTTTTGTTTGAAGTGTCAACCAAATACCAAAAAACAAAAACAAAATATTTTTTTCTATGTAAAATCAATTTATAAGAAAATATTTTTTGTGTGTATAAAATCAAAACAAACGGAGCCTAAATGTCATTATATTAAATAACTTACAAACTATAGCTTAATTTTAAAATCATGCTAAGTATAAAACTAAAAATAAAATAAAAGTTTATTAAAAGGAATTTTATCTCTGTAATAGAAGAAAATGTTGTTTCAATTGAGGTACGGTACAGCTTGAGTATATACTAGGTACATCTATGTAAGCTAAAAATTAAGAAGAAAAAATATGAATACGTGTTTCGTGTGCCCTATACGTATGATGAAATACCATACGAAGTACCATACGTCGGTAAGTACCCGCCACGGGTATGGCATATTTGTCGAAGTACCTATGCTTCATAGTTTGGCTTTGTAAATAATTAACTTCCGTTGGCCCCATGTTTCTATATATATTTTTGTGCTTAAAATCACCATATGGTCATTTTTATGTACAAGTACAGCTAATGAAAAACTTAAAAGATTAAAGTTATTGTTTATGAAGAAAAGCTGAGAATTATGAGCAGCTCTCTCTCTCTCTACATGTTTGGGTTCTCTTATGTATTGTTGACATTTTTTATGCATCTATAGACATCTTTAATGGGCTATGTTTGCCTGCTGTCAGTTCAACTTCATGACAGCTGTACTTTATGCTAGGAAAGAAAAGACATCTTTAAATACATTATTCTATTTTAGTGGATAGATCAATTGCTTTTACATTCACATCTTGGATGGCTGGTCTGGAATAATAGTACCCAGTAAAAGCATGCTACTGAACTCTACTTTGTCAATTGTGTATATTAGTTCATGGTGGTTTGTTTGTACAGTAACATTGTCATTGTTAAAATTTTGTCGAAGTTCTTGTCGTCTCTTTCCTATATAAAAAAGTTCTTCGTTTGGTTATTTTCATACTTATGTTACTCGCATTCATAATCTTGTAGCTTGGCCATGAAACTTATGAAAGCAATGTTAATGGTGGTGGCATGGGTGGTGGTCAATGGGGCCCTGATTTCAATCCATTTACTGACATTTTCAATACTGATAATGTAAGTATTATTCTCTTTGAATTCCAATACAAAACTGTATCATTTTGTGGCTTTTCTCCATCTGCTGGAATTTCTAGTTTTCTTAATGTGGTGATGCTGTGGAATTTTGGAAAATGCTGATTTTGAAGAATATTTGATCAATTTCCCTATTTAAATAAAAAAGAAAAAAAGAAAAACTGTGTACAATCTCGGGTATATGTAGTTAAGACAGCACACAGACGTCTGTAACTGACGGCTTAGGTATCTAAACTATTGGGTACTGCGTTGGTTTGTTCGTTTTTAACTTTTGGAAATACATCTTACTTCTGGTGCCAGTAGTTCAATGGCATCTTTTTTTTGCCTGTGTGATGACTTGACAGATAATGTCTTGTTGAGAACTTTTACACCATTAGCTGAGTGATGTTTACACCATTAGCTGGATTTTACGCATGAGGGTGCCATGAGCGTACCTATGACCCACTCACATTATCACCACAGATCTATGGATTTGTGGCTAGAGCTGATGGTATCAGCAAAGTTGTTTCTCACCCTCTTGAGGTGGCTCCACTTTGATTAGTCCTAGACTAAAAAGCATGGATACAAACATGGAACATGGTGATTTTAAAAAAAATAAGGATATAGACACAAGAAGGATATGACAGAAAGTTACATATATTTTTTATTTTTTGCGTATGCTTATAACCTCACAAAAATTGATGTGGTTCTTTATTTTGAGATGTTATTTTTGCATTTTTAAAAACTGCTTTCGCACGAAAATTTGAAGAAAACACGAAGTTTATTTGTCTCTGAAGACGACTTATGTGCAAGAGGGCCTTTATGGATACTGCACTTATTTTATTTTTGCTGTTTTATCCTTTTAGGATAAAGAAGGAAAGGGAAAACAATAGACATCTCTTTGATAAAGTACTCTTGGGAGACGAAATTGACTAGAATAGTTGATGGACTGTTTTTGACTGGAACAGTTGATGTGTCATAATGGGGCAGAATTTCTAAGGGGGTGTGCATGTATGTCTCATGTGTATGCTCAGGTGTGCATGAGTGGAAGGGAGATAGCTGATCATATAATTTGTCCTTCTAAATCTGTTTCTTCCATGTTAGAGTTTGGTATAACTGCTTTTGTTTTTGATCAAGTTTCCAATCTTGATATGCCTTATTCAGACTGTTTTATGTTTGGTGAATTTGGTCTACACATTGTTGCACGGCTAATCCTTAGTCTGTCTTGTATTGTCAACATTTCTCTCCATAATATCTTGTTGACTTCTGAAATGTGATTGTCTCTTTTCATGTGCATGTGGCACTCTCTACAATGGATATTAGATCTTCAATACTATCTTTAATAGGGGAATGGGCGGCAAAGATGTCAAGGTTCTTATCTTATCCATTGGTGTTGGTGATTTGTTTGTGCTCTAGATTTTGTTATTTCACAGACTTCTCATTTTTCATTGATCATGTTTAGGTTTTGGTTGAACTATCCTTTATGGAAGCTGTTCAAGGATGCACCAAAACTCTGACATTCCAATCTGATCTGCCTTGTGAAGCTTGTGGTACATTATTCTCTGAACTTGTATTTATTTCTCAGTTGGACATTTTAGCTCATTTTAGTTCTAAATATTTTTTTGTTAATTTTCTTCCATTCTTTCTGTCTTGATGGTAGTTTAGTGTGAGAGTAGGCCCATTCTTGAATTGCTTTTTGATCTTTTTCTTTTCTTCTCTCTCTCTCTCTCTCTCTCTCAGGTGGAGCTGGTGTTCCTCCTGGAACCAGACCAGAAACTTGCCAGACCTGTAGAGGCTCAGGCATGGTCTGTTTTCTTACAGCCATGTTCCTAATTGCAACTATAACATAGTGATTTTCCATAGATAACATTTGGTTTTTGCATAATTTCAGATAAACAAGGTAACTGGCCCATTCAGGGTCCAGGTTACGTGTTATTATTGTCATGGAACTGGGAAAATTGTTAAGGTGTGGTATAGCAATTTTGTTATTACTTGATTTTGGGTGTATTGTACAATTTTTGTTGCTAATTCTGATACATTCATATTGATTATATGATGGGGCTATGCTGTGCAGCTATATATTTTGTTGAATTTAATGAAATGGATGTGGTCACTGTGTGATTTAACTTTTTCCAGGGTTGGTAACCAGAAGGCTGTTTAGACTCCCTGACGCAAGGATGAAGCCATAAATTGTGTTAGGGAGGCAAAATAAGTGTAGCAAAATTTAAGTTAGCTTTTGAAAATGATAATTTTTTCCATAAGAACTATGAAAAAATAGCCATTTTTTTTTTTTTAAAAAATCAAAAAAATAAAAATCAATAGATTTATATCAATGATTTCTCAATACTTTTCTCAATTATTTCATATAATTTTTGAGCTATAGTTTTTATTATTTGTTGATTTCTGTTCATTAGATTATATTTATATATTCTAATAGTTATCTTAAGATGGATGTATTGATATGCAAGGGTTTATGGTTTGATTACAGAACTTTTGCAAGTCTTGCAATGGGGAGAAAATAGTTAGAGGACCAAAGACGGTCAAGCTGGATATCATGCCAGGTATTTTAAACATTTTAAGGAACTGTGGTCATAGTTGTTAAAAGCTCATAATATTGTCAATTGATTTTGTTTTGATCTATCTAACAAATTGGAAAGCTGGACTTACTTCCCTTGGGTGTCTAATTCTTTCTGAGATGTTTGTTGGTGTTTCAGAATCTAACAGAACTACCTCAGTGTTTGTGGATTTCAGTGCGAGCTCTAATAAAAGGAGTTTAAAGGACCATAATGCTAGATCTTGTTTGAATTATTTTGATGCAGACGTATTCAAGAAATGCCCAAATACCCCTCTTTTATTTGAGACTGAAATAGTGTTATGAGGCAAGATGGAATTAGTGTTGTGCAGACAAGAGGGATATACAACATGCATATATAAATATATACATACACCCACCCATATATATACAGGAGGTTATTATTTCTGAATAATCCTAGAGTGGTCTCTGCAATTATTCTTAACTTCGGGGGTGGTATATGCTGTTTCCCTTGATGGAGACATTCTAAATTTTCCATCGTCACCATTATTGAAACTTGAACTGTTAAGTTGGGCAAAGCTATTTTCAGGGCCTGCAACAATCCTGCAGTGGATTTGCTTTGTGGTGGTAGTGTTAGAGATCTCTCATCCACGTATGATTTGTCTACCCATTCTTATTAAGAAACCTGAGGGGAGGATGAGGAATCTCTCAAGCCTGTAACAAATAGATTCCAACCAACCTCTATCATCTTCTACAATGATGAACGAGGGAGAAGTGACTTTCATTTTCCTCATTTTAGGCTTCCCAAAATTTTCCAAATCATCACGTTGACCATTGATAGAGTTAAGGATTTGTCTAATCATTAATCTCAGGTTATTGAACAAATTAAGGATCTCTCTCTTAAGGTAATTTTAATGTTTTTGTGGATAAGCCCATGACTGGACCGACAAAGAGATCAAAAGAACCCTCAATCAGTTGCCAATGGAACCACTTGGTGACAGTGATGGTGCAACCATAAATGGTTGGAAGGCTGTTATTGGATTTGGAAACTCGAGGTGAAGCCTGTGCGTTCAAAAGACATTTTGGTCCCATAAATGTAATTGGTAGTACTATTATTATTATTTATTTAGATTTAAACCAAACAAAATCATGGCTAATGACATTTTTCAGAAAAGGAAAGGAGTTCCACTCTTCTTTATTTTTAGAGATTGGAGGCTGTGTGCGATATGTAGTTTGGATTTTAACTTGCTTTGCTATCTTTCTTTTTTTCTTTTTGGGCGGACTCCTTGTACTTCTTTGCTTTTTAGTCATTAATATTGTGACTTTTTGCTGTTGATCAAAAAAAAAAAAAAAAAAAAAAAAAATGGTTTGAAGGGCAAAAGTTTGTGAACTTTTTCTTTTTGGGCGAATAAAAATTTGTGAACTTACTCGTACCTACCAAGTGAGTTAAGTCACTCAAAAAATAACATATGTATAGATGTTAGATATATCTATGAAGCATGGGTACTCAAAAAATAGTTTCGTATGAGTACTGGGTACTTACCAGGTGCGGGTACGCGTACCGGGTACAGCAAATACATTTGGGTATGTCGTGGGTACGGCACTGGTACGTTGTCGGTACGGCATGAGTACGACACCAGTATAGCGAGGTTTTTTTTTTTTTTTTTGGGCAACTGCTAGAATTTGTTGTAGCATTTATTATTCTTCTTTCAATTTTGAAAATATCAAGTAATTTATTTCCAACACCCTTTACCCATGAGTCATGGTTTTGTTCTCTTTTGCATCCTGTTTTAGACAATCAAAAAAGAAAAATAAAGAATTATATAACTTTTTAGACAAGCTGTTCTCTTTTTAGTTTTGATATTGAAATTTTGATTTATATGTTGGATGTTTAGCTAAAAAAATAAAAATAAAAAAATAAATTGACGTACCCCATCCGTACCCGTACCTTATTTTTTTAAGAATTTGCCGTATTGGCATACCCGCACCTGCACCTGTGCTTCATAGGATATATCACACATACATAGAGAGAGAGAGAGGAGGTAGGCCATTTGGAAGAGGAGGTTGGATGGGCAGGAGGAATTTATTGTTGTGTGATGTAGTTTTCTGCTTGTTTTCTTCTTCTTTTGCTTAGGTCTTCTTTGTTTGTTTATGTCATGGATGGTTCTGGCCCTCATTGTGCTTGTTGGCATCTGCAGGAGTAGATGATAATGAAACTATGAAAGTGTATAGGAGTGGTGGAGCAGATCCTGATGGCAATCAACCTGGTGATCTTTATGCTACTATCAAGGTACCTTCTAATGTGTTAATTTTATTTATACTCACAAGTGCACGAACCGTACAATAGTATAGTTTAACGAATGTAAGGTTGAACCCACCAGGACTTATGATTTTTTTTTTTAGAAAAGTAATTAATTCGAATTTAAATAGACCCTAATCTAGTGAACAAATTTTTGTGTGATTGAAATTAACTCTAAAGATGCAATAATTAAATAAATTAAACAAACAGGGAAATAATTAAATAGAAGAATAAATTAATTAGATGAATGAAACTAAGGTTTCATAATTCACAGTCAAGTTTACCCTAATTATAATAACATAATCTGAATGATTTCTTTGATTCTCTTCACAATAATTTGGAAATCAATCTTAATTATTATGGAAAATATGATCATTAAATTTTTTTTTTCAAAATAATTTTCTTATGTATATTCTTCCGCACCTGAAAGTTTAAAATCAAATCATCTAATGTATCCGTTTGCACAAATCACAATTGATATCTAATATTTGAATTCAACAAGATAATAGTCAAGGTAGACTAATTAATGAGTAGATTTCAAATCATGAAAGAAATTTGATTAAATTCATATTCAAAATTTATTGAATTAATTACAATGAGACAAGAACGATTAATCAATTAAAGCACAATTCAAGACAATACAATCAGATCATATATTTAATTATTACGAAGCATGATGTTTCATCTTTAATCTCAATTAATAATTTCGTTACACATCATTGCATGAATCATTCTTCTCCACTCGACTTTATCCGAGACTATTTCGTTAGTCAAATTAAGGAGATTCATATCTCTATTTATTACACTAGTCTACATCAATTTAGGTCTACCTCTTCCCCTAACACTACCGTCTATCGTCATTATATCGCGTTTCTTCACTACTGTCTTTGTTGGTCTCTGTTGTATATGACGAAACCATCTCGATCTATTATCTCTCAACTTATCTTCTATCGGTACTACCCTTACACATTTTCGAATATACTTATTCTTAACTCTGTCTTTTCTAGTCTTGCCATACATTTACTTTAGCATCCTTATCTCGACAATACTCATCTTCTTTACATGTTGTTTCTTAGTTGTCCAATATTCTGTCTCATATAACATCGTTGGTCTAATAGCCGTTCTATAGAACTTCCTTTCTAGTCTAGTGGTACTCGTTTATCGCACAATACTCCAGACGCACTCTTCCACTTATGCCACCCCGCCTTAATTATGTGGACCACGTCCGTTTCAATTTCCCCAGTCGTTGTGATAATTGATCCTAAATAATGAAAATGTTCACTCTTAGGTAGTTCTTGGTTCTCAATCTTCAATTTTCTTCTGTTTCCATGGTGACTGTTACTAAAATTACACTAACACGATATCATTTGCAAAAAGCATACACCATGGTACTCATTTTGCCTCTTCTTTTTCTCTGCAAAAAGAATTCACCCTCATAATGAGTGTTACATGTATTTATATAAATGGAGAAAATCTAAACCTAATCTAATAATATTAGGAAACTATTATTAAACAAAAAAATATATAAATTATGCTAATTAAACTTCCGTATGGCTGACCCGGCTAAGAAGTCCTGTTGAAATGTATCTCCTGCTGGAAGAGTTGTTGACATTGAATTTAATCCGGTGCTTTGCGGCATTGACATAATTGACTTGTGCTAAGTTGACCAAAAATATAAAATTATGTTGCTCAAAAGGTTTGAACCGAAAATCCCCAATTCTGTAGTAGTAGTAGTGACCCACTCAATTGTCAACTAAGCTAGGCACAAGATTATGTCATAAAGCTCCTATTTATTTATTTGACTTCTTCTATGCCGATTCAACTTTCTTTCATTTTCCACCATTTTTTCATTCAATTTCTGGAATACCTAAAAACATAAAAACAAACATAATAAGATTAAATAATATATAAAATAGATCTAATAGAGTATAAATTAAGGGTATAAAATATGCACTATAATGCACATCACCTTCCATAGTTCTCCACCCCCATTTATATTGTTAGTACTTGTTTGATATGTTATAGTTAGGTGTGTATATTGCTTTACTGCTCAGAATTTGTACCTTAATATTTTTCCAGGTCCGGGAAGATCCTGTTTTTCGACGAGAAGGGCCAGACATTCATGTTGATGCTGTACTGAGTATCACTCAGGTAATTACTTTTCTATTATCCCAACCACAAAAGAAAAAATTGGGAATACTTGATTTATCAGATTTCTTGGAAGTGTACAGAGTAAATTAATTCCAAGTTGTGCTTTCTGTGAAGATGTATCTAAATCATTCCTTTTGACCAGAAGGATATGTTAGTCATCTTAGGGTGCATTGTTTTGTGGGAATCTTCAATTGAGAATTGCAATCTTGACCTCATTCCCAGTCCAAGATTTGCAGGGATGGGCTTACCTGTGTGATTCCAATTCTGATAGGTGGATTTGCCATGGTTATCCTGTCTTTGAAGCAAAAGAAAAAGAATATTTTATCATTTTACTAATTTGAGCTAAGATAAATTAAACTCAATGTAATTGTAAATGCAATGGATGTGGCTCAGGTTACCACATTCACCTACTTGAATTCATTAAACATAGGTTGTGCAATTCCTTACTTCTTTCGCTTATTTTGGTCACCTGTTTTCTGCAAGTTATTCCAAGTCTACAAGGCTTTTGTGCAAGTTGTTTTCCCTGTTTTATGTCCCAGGTTTATCGGTTGTTTTGCAGTTTCTTTGTGTACTGAAACTTGTCAAGTTCCCTTCATACAAATTTGGTTCATTTAATTGATGGATGTCAGCTGATTCACTCTTATGCAGGCAATTTTAGGTGGAACCATCCAGGTCCCAACTCTAATGGGAGATGTTGTTCTTAAGGTTCTTTTTCTTCTTCTTTTTCTTTTTTAATTTATTTATTTTAAAAGTTATTGTGTGTATTTTTTTGTTTAATTAATTTATTTATTTGTATTATTAGCCTTCATTTTCATTATTCTGTGCATTTAGATTGCCGTTTGTTATGCTCAAGTGCCACAATTTTGTTGGTTTCTGATTTGCAGGTCCGCCCCGGCACCCAACCTGGTCAGAAGGTGGTTTTGAAGAAAAAAGGTAAAAAAATGATACACAGAAGTATACAAGAACTGTTGGTTTTTCGTTTCCTAATTTATTTTTGGTTCTTTTAGATGTTCTTTTAAATGTAAGTAGAAAGGCATGCCTGTTTTATTTTCTGAAATAAGAAAGTAATACGTCACTTTAGTCCACTTGGCCACCTCTTCATTAAAAAAAACAGATAATTACTATCTTACATTACAAATTTCAGAGAATAAAAATGAATATATATATATATATATTTATTTTAGGGGACTCGGGCCACAAGTCCAATTTCAAAACTTTTGGGGCAATAGTCCCAAGCTCTATTCTTTTGAGGTCAAAAGGACAAAACAATTTGAAAGACAATATTACCCCTACCTATCCATCTATTTGTTCACCTATTTGTCCATGTGTCATCCCCTTATTTGTCTATGTTTGTCCACTTAATCTGCCTAGCCATATCAAGACCACCAGCAGTTGCTGGTGCCGCTGGCCAGCTCCAGCCATTTTTCTGGTGACTTTTCCGGCTATATTCCCCCATAGAATTGGACTTATCACCAATAAACCCTTTATTTTAACTTGGTCTAAATATTTAACATGTCATATTTTACACATTTAAATTAGAAAAAAAATCCTAAAATGTACAATATACATAATACATGGATGAGGATGGGCCTTGGAGGCATTGGCACAGGCCGGGAATAAAGTTGTGTGCACGTGACCCTCCCCAGAACCTGTAGTGGCGTCAACCTTGTGTAGTGGGACTGTCCCTTTTGTACTTAACTATGTTACCAGAAAATGCTAATACCCTAGCGATTTACGTATTGGTATGTACGTTCCGAAACATGGTACACTTTCTTTTCAAAATGGTAACTTTAGTGTTTCGAAGCGATCCCAAAAGTTTTTTTCCAATATATTTCTTTAAATTTTATTTTAGGAGAAAAAAAAAATCAAATATATGAACTAAAATCTAAGGTGAGTTAAATTTTGACAAGATAAAAAAATAAAAATTGGGTTATAATTTTCATAGAAATGATTTGCTACATGAAAAAACAAATAAAAAAAATTGAATACCTAATAGTCTATGAAGCACGGACACGTCCCTGAGGCTTGCGTATGAGTGTCGGACAGGTGTCGGACACGCTGCGACATGTGTCCGACACTCTCCCCTATGTATCCCCCTTTTTTTTAGAATTTTCAAAGTCGGACACAAGGTTGGACACGCGAGGACACGATTTAGACACGCAGGTGGATCGAAGAAACCCTAGAACTGTTGGAGAGGAGAAAGAGAGAGTCAGAGACAGATCGAGGGGAGATAGATCGAGGGAAGAGAGAGATAGATCAAGGACAGAGAGAACAAACCCTAACCTGTTCTTCTTCTCTTTTCTGCTTCTCTGTTCTTTCGTCTTCGTCTTCGTCTTCGTCTTCTTCTGTCTTCGTCTTCTTCTGTCTTCGTCTTCTGTCTTCTATCTTCTTTCGTCTCTTCTTCTATCCCCGTCTTCTTCTCTTTCTTCTCTTCTCTGCATCTGATTTCATTTATTCTCTCTCCACTCCACCCTTTCCTTTTTATTCTCTTATTTTTTTTTTCTTTTGTTCTATTATTTATATCCATGTTTTTATTCAAATTTATAAAATAAGGAGTTGTTTGGGGTATCCTAAATAAGTGCACTTTGTCTTTTTGGACTAAAAAGTTGAGGAAAAAAAGATGGATGTTTGGGTTAACTTTTTGACTTTTTACGAAAAAATGTGTATTAAAAAATTGTATAAATAAGTGTGTAGGAGAAGTTAGTGAAGTAGGCCGTACAAGTTGGGCAGTGTAGTCAGCTAGTTTAGGAGATGGGAAATGATTGCCTCCTTTTCGGGCTTGAATTGGACGGTGTTGTTCGGCCCGTGGGGGCCCGCCACAGGTCTCGTTTTGCTAATCAGAACCGTTTAATGTATAGAACTCGTCGAGTACTATATGCTTGTAAAAAATCACGTTGATTGGATATCGATAGCTATCTGATCGTGTTAGTTTTTTTTGTCAACTGTTAATTATATAACCATCTATTTTTTATACAAAATTGATTTGATCATGTAGTTAGCGATATTCGATTGACGTGATTTTTTACAGGCATATAGTACTAGATGAGTTTTACATATTGTACAGTTCGGATTATCAAAACGGAACCCGTGGTGGGCCCCCACGGGCTCAAAATTACCATCCAACTTAGTGAATGTATATATATGTAATTTTTTTTTGTTCCTTTTACTGCCTTTCCTTTCACGTCAATACCTAAAGTGGTGTGAAGCTGGTTTGTATTTTAATATTATGTATATTAATTTTTTTATATTTTTTTTTGGTAAATACTGATAACTTTTTAACTTTTTGGCTTTTTTTAAAGATCCCAAACCAGGCCTAAATTATTTTTATTTGAAAATACCATCCAACTTAGTGAATGTATATATATGTAATTTTTTTTTGTTCCTTTTACTGCCTTTCCTTTCACGTCAATACCTAAAGTGGTGTGAAGCTGGTTTGTATTTTAATATTATGTATATTAATTTTTTTATATATTTTTTTGGTAAATACTGATAACTTTTTAACTTTTTGGCTTTTTTTAAAGATCCCAAACTAGGCCTAAATTATTTTTATTTGAAAAAAATTAATTTTTATTAAAAAAATTTAGGTAATATATTTATTTATTTTATTATTATTGTAATTTTATAAGAATTAATATATATATATTTTAAATTTTAGATACATAATAAATAAATAAAATTATATATATTAAACATGTCCCCAGCCTGTCATGTCCCCTAGTTTTTGAAAATTTGCATATTTACGTGTCGTGTCCCGTGTCCGTGTCCGTGTCTGTGCATCATAGCTAATAGTTAAAAAAAAATAATTCTAGAAGTATCTTAAATTCTTAAGTATAATATATATAAGTCTACTTCTATTGTATCACATTTTAAAGCATATGGCGTATCACGTTCCCGTTTCCGTTCCCATTCTATGTACCGGAACGATCCATGTTCTACGTAACATAGGTACATAATATACATGGATCACTTTCTCTCTTGAATTTTATGTTCTTGTAGCTTGGAGATGTGTATTATCTCATTATAAGCTTACTGTAAACTCCTGCTCATTGTTTCGGTTGTCAATCCTTATATAGGTTCTCCTCCAAATGGCTATATTTTTAAAATTTTCTCAGGCGAGGTAGAGGTCGACCACACAGCTACCATGGTCGACCACATCTACCAGGATGGTTGACCATTGCATTGTTTGCTTGTCTGGGCTCTTTATATTTCAGTTTGGTTGACCATACTATGGTCGTGGTTGACAAAACCATGCCTGTTGGACTTCTTCTAGGAGCACAAACCGAACCTCAAAAGGCCATAAGTAACATATTTTAATTCAGATTCAGATAAGATATGTGCCCAATTTAAAGCTCTGGAAGTTCAGTTTCTTTTTAGATTGGTCTCACGCAAGGATTCAAACTAGATCCTTACTTATTGGCCTTGGAAGGTCAGGTTGTCCCCATTTACCAAAATAGTCAACCTATCTTACTTTTGGTCAATGAAGACTAGCTTTGATATCTTTTAAAGTCTTTATCCTAGGTGACTCTACCTAAGCCATTTTGGTCTTCTTGTTACTTGACATCCTTCTGGTTCATGGAGCGTCTCTAGAGTTTATAGCCTTTGATCTCTTTGATGTGACGATGTCGATTTGAAATTTCCAAGTCTTTGAAGCTTGTATGAGCTTTCCTTCACCAAAATCCTTTTATGGGTGTTGAACTGAAATGCTCCCTAGCTACAATACAAGTCATGAAATTGTCATTCTATGCTATTACTATACTCACAAGGAGCAGGTGTCTCTTGGCTCTAGCAGAGTTGATCTTACTGATTTCTCTTCTGCATATTGCCACTGCATTTTTGTAATCGAGGTACTACATATGCTTTCTTTAGCTGTGTATCCATTGTTGTCTTTGAACCTTTGAACCCCACAAACACAATATTTTTCCAACCTAGCCATTTTCGGCAAGAGTTCACTCTAACAGGTGAAATTGTGCTGGCCAAACATCCACCTCCGTGGCCTTGGGAATCATCTTGGGATGTCTCTTAGTGTCAGAGTAACTGTATGGCAGGTGAGGTAGTTGGTGACTACAATGGCATGGGACCTTCACGCCTCCATAGGCCACCAAATGGTTTTTTTAGCATTGCCATTAAAATTGGACTAAGCCAACCCAAGACCCTTCACTAATGGAATCAGTATCACATGAGTTTGGATTTGCTAGAGAGAGAAATTGTCAAATTGGGATACCAGAGCTAAAGCTCTGAAATTTTCAATCTTCAAATGTGAAAAATTAGTTGTTGAGAGACTAGTCACCCATTTATAGACAAATGCTAACTTCAACCAACAACTACTAACATACTAACTCACATCAGTACCATTGCCCTAAAAAGAACTTGCCCTCAAGTTAGGACAATATAAAGACATCTAGTCTACAACATAAGGTACCAAATGCTGGACATTGAAAGTGTTGGAGATGTTCAAATGCGGAGGCAATTGAACTTGATAGGCATTGTCCTTGATCTTGCACCAAACCCCACAGGGGCCCACTTTTTTTAGCTTTCAACTTCATATAAGAGCCATGAGACTGTCTTTCCTCAGTCAGAACCGTTCAAACAAGATCTCCTTTGAAAATGACCTTTCATCTTATGCACATCAGCTGTGACTTTGTACTTGGCATTGGATTTTTCAATTTCTGCCTTCTGAGCATTTATTTGTTGCATAAATATAACCATCTCTTCCACCTTTGCAGTCTCCCTCTTAGTTATAGGTAAAGGACCTAAATCCACTACACTAGGCTTGGAACCATAAACAACTTCAAAAGAAGAAGTATTAATGCTGCAATTGAGAGAAAAAAGTGTAAGCAAATTCAACCAATGGAAGGACACCATCCCAACCCTTAGGATCATATCCCATAAGACATTTCAACAAGTTTCCAAGATTTCAGTTCTCCACTTGAATT